TGCAACTACTGAGCCTGCGCACCTCAACTAGAAAGAGAAAACCTGCACGCCACAACTAGAGAGAAGCCCACGCACCACAACAAAGAGCACGCACGCCACAACGAAGATCCTACGTGCCGCAACTAAGACCCAACACAGCCAAAAATAAAAAAAAATAAAATATTTTTTTAAATGTTGCATCCAAATAAAGAAAAAAACTATACTCATCCTTACTACATGTAATATATTCTAATACATATTCTATTCTACTTCTGTTTTTTTAAATGCTGGAATTGATTTCATGACCCACAAATAGGTGGCATCTTGCAATTTAAAAAAAAAACAACTCTGCTCTAGACTACAGGTTCATGGATATTTGGAAATACAGGCAGAGAAAGTATGGACATCCTCTGATATTAGAACCACACACAGGCATCCTGGGAGAGGATTAAATAAGATACATATATGAGAAATCATTTGGCAGAGAGTCTGGCATAAACAGGTATTTAGTAAAAATCAGTTTCCACGATACCTCCCACAACATTACTATCCCCCAACGTTTAGAGAAGTGAAGTTACTCCACCACCATCATAAGCATTATAGTCAATGAGCTGCTGGCCAAAGTTAACCACCTTAAAGTTTCAATGCTCAACTAACATCAAGAAATGGAGCTGTGCTACCTACATGACCTTTCCTGATGAAAGCAGCTTATCATTTCCAAGAAAATTTTTTTTATGAACCATTTTGATAGAAAAATTTCTGAAGTATATCAAACACTGACTTGACTTCTTAAGAGGACTATACAGAATTGTCTTTTCTCAAGGACCCAGGGTCATAATTATGCACACACAATGGTAAATTTTAGAACTGGTAGATGCCTACCTTAGAGGTCACCTAATTCAAGTCTTTCACTTTACAGATGAACAAATTGATGTCCCAAGATGTTATGCAATTTTCCCAAAGTTACCCAGAAGGAAGGTTAAGTGATTCCCATTATGCCATGCTGCCACATCGATTTTGGACTACGCTGAGCATGATCTAGCAAGGTAGTCAGGATTTAGGAGCAATACCCCTTGTCATTTCCCCCATATTTGTTATTTTTGTTATCTCACTTCTTTCCCCATAATCTTTAGCAATAAAACACTTAAATCAAAATAGGATCTATGTGTTTGTGCTCTGCAGGAAACATGTTAAGCTAGTCTATTCCACAGACCATTTAGGGGAAGAATTCCAAAATATAATATGTGTGGTGTACCTTAGTAAGGAAAGGGATGCAGAATGAATCTCTATGTGGCCTTCAGAAAGCAAGAAGGATGCAATGAAAAGGCCACATTGGCTTAGAACAGCTCTGAGCATGTGACAGTCAGGAACCCCAAACAGGTCCTCAGAATAGGCAACACAGTAAATGTCACAAGGGCAGGGACCAGGTTCTCAGTAAATGTGGGTTGAATATTCTAAAAAATGTGTAGTCTGTCGCTACACTAAATGGTGCCAGGTCACTGTGCTGTCTGATGTAGGTTTGCATTTTAGATGTTTGTCTCTCCCCTTTCCCATAAGGATATGAACTGTCACTTATGTCTAATGACACCTCCCAAACATGGCTTTTGCAGAAGTTGATAACGTTTCCTATATCTTCTAATAAGATGCTTCTAATACACTCTGAGCATGCTAGAATTTTCTAAAATAAGAATGAATATGCTCTAAATAAGAGAATGAGGGATTCCTCTATGTAAGAAGCATGCCAATATTATCCCATAACTCTTGTAACTTCCATCTTGTCTGCTTTTTTGTTGAGTGGATGGCTCTGCTGAGGGTTACAGATTACACAGGTTGCCAGATAAGTCACCTGCAGTGAGGTATTATGCTACTGGGACTATTTTTAACCTGCAACCGATGATACTTCTCTGTAACCCACAAAATTATCACTCAAATGTCTTTTTAAATGGCAAAATGTCTTAAAAATGACAACCGTGCACCCAAACTGAAGGTCATTTTCTAGACACTTATTACTATATCCATTTTTAAAAATAATTGTCAGGATTTTTTCATTAAATTTTTTTTTATTTTATATTGAACTCACTATATCTATTTTTGTCCTCTCCCTTGAGACTCCATTTGGTGCTCCTTCCTTATTCCATTTTCTTCTATATTTTCCATGGTACAAGTACTTTATCTTATTCTCTGCCTTTGGGTGTTCTAGTGATATTTCCTGTATTTTGTAGTCAGGAGGAAATGGGCTTAACTAAGAAAATACATACAAAACTTTATTTTCCCATAATCTCTTCAAAACACGATCTTAAGGAAAACGTTGTGTTATGAAGAATGAAAAGAAATACAAATTAATCAAGGTCAAAGGGGTTTAAAATATTATCCACAGATTATTTTACTTGATAAAGCAATTGTCTCTTGATGACATTTAACTAGAACTAAATCTGCTAAAAGAAAAACTGCATCTCATAGCCTATTTCTTCATGTTTCTGATACATGCATGATTAATTCTGCTTTTGTTATTAAAACTGAATCTTTGAAACACTGATTTTTCTATGATTTACTCAAGCTAGTACATATAGTAAGGCAAACACATTTTAAAGACCACTTTCAGCAAACTATTTCAGAAGAGAAATATTCCAAACACATTAAAAATCATTCTTATTCAGTAATGATTGGAATTATTGGATTCATTTATTTGGGAAATGGTTTTTATCCAATTTTTCCACTTTGACTTACCTAAAAACAAAGCTTCATATCATAAATTTAAACAATGTGCTTGAAAAGTAAAAATGTGTTCACTAAGTGATATGAAAAACTTCTAACTCAAATAAGTTTTTCCCATACTTTGAGAAATAACATTACTCTCACGGAAATAAGTCTAAAATGAATCTTTTTCCAAATACACCAGATACCCCTGATGCAATTTTCTGGATCACTCACAGAATCTTCCTACCTCTATCATAATGGACTCTAACAGGATGGATGTAATCCATATTATGAACTGAACTAGAAGGCAAAATATGTCTTATATAAGAATTAACAGGGGCTTCCCTGGTGGCGCAGTAGTTGAGAGTCCGCCTGCCGATGCAGGGGACGCAGGTTCGTGCCCCGGTCCAGGAAGATCCCACATACCGCGGGCTGGGCCCGTGAGCCATGGCCGCTGGGCCTGCGCATCCGGAGCGTGTGCTCCGCAACAGGAGAGGCCACAACAGTGAGAGGCCCGCGTACCGCAAAAAAAAAAGAATTAACAGAACTTAATGATAAGAATTAGCACTCTTATCAATTAAAATTTGAATCAAGATAAGAAAAAGTATCTTAATGAATCAAAGTAATTTTTAAAACACCCTAAGTGCCAAGGTAAAACAACAACAAAAGAAGGCAGTAACATAGGACCCAAGTATGGTATAACAACTATTCTAAAGTGGATATTGTTCTAAGTTTTAGGATAGACTGGAGAGAATAAATAGTCTGTTGACTCCTTCCAGCTCTCATCCAACATCTGTTCATAGCAGCTACAGCAAGGTTATCTGTAGCCATGCAGTTTTCAGGTTGAGAATAAACATGGCCTTGCTGTTTTGAAAACAATTACCCAGGTACAACTAGAATAAGATAATTTTTGGTTAGACAACACTGGAAAGGTTATCTAGTTTACCCTCCCTATGTTCATAAACAAGGAAACTGAGGCTCAGAGAGATTAAGTTCCTAGCCCTAGCAACTCACACAGCTAGTTAATGGCCAAGCAAGGTCTAGAACCAAGTTTTCCCAATTATTTCTATTAATATGGGTTAACTCTGAGGGTCAGAACCACTGATTCTCCTTCTGGTATGGAATTGACCTTTGGAAATTTACCGGCTGTGTGATCTTGGGCAAATTGCAACCTTTCTAAGCCCTTTTGCCTCCTCTGTATAGTGTAAAGAATACGTACTCTAACAAGGTTGTTGTGAGGATTATATATGGCTTGTAAAGTGCTTAGCACGTCGATTAGCAAATAATAAGCATTCGAAAATAAGTAGTTATTATTTTTACTCCCAACCTGGAAACATGGCTGCTCCTACTGTTTAAGAAGACAATGAACTGAATTCAACACAATGGACAGGGTCTCAACCACTGGGGTTCCCCAGCCTACCACATTCTGAAGACCGGAGAAAACCCCACCCAACAAACTATTTCACCCCATCTAAAATCTACCCTTTACACTGTTAAGAAAAACAAAATACCAACTGCTGCCAAATGTTTTCTGCCACGTGTTGTACGTGTAATTTGTCAACTAGAAATTGCAGGGGGAGTTCTGGCACCACCCAAAACATGAAGAATAAATGATGGGAAAACAAGGGGAAGATAAGATCACACACCTGAACTGGACTCACAGACGCTTGTTCTCAGCTCATTTAGCTGTTGGTAGATAGGTGGGTGGTATAAAGCAAAATGATTTCTTTCAGCACCATAAAGCAGGAATAATGGCCACCACAATAAATTACAACCCCCTAGGCTTCTCAGCAAAACATAAAAGAATCCATTTCATCGCCTCAGTAAATTAAAACGTACACGGGCAACAACTGAGTAACAAAATGTATCCGAGCTGCACTGCACCCTAGGATTATATAAATATATGAAAAATTCCTATAAAATGGCGAGACAAAATGATGGGGAATATCACCTTGAAACTAACAAGGAGGAAATTATGTCATGCCAAAGGTGTCTCCATTGACAAAACCCCCACCCTCCGTTCTCATGACACTGCAAACCCACCTCCCTCTAAGGAAATTACAGGAATCACCCGCAGCAACCAACCTCAGCAATCGAAATCGACCAGATCGACCTCTACTCAAATGGCGCTAAGCACCGCGGGTCCAAGCCCCTCCCTGCAGCTGCCAAGTCCCGCGCTGGCTCCAGACTACTTCGCTTCCTTTCCGTCCTCCCTCTCACGCTCGACCCCCAACATTTCTCGCCGACCCTCGCCACTGACAGAGAAGGTAGGAACGGGAAAGACTTCCTACACTTTGTACAGGGAGTACCAGAGCCACACATACCCGTCCCTATTACGACCACATCAAACTCCGAAGGTAGATTATCCGCCATCTTGACAGGAAACGTGTCATGTGACTACTGCTTGTGGAAATGAGATCAAGTTAAGCATTGTTGTGGTAGAAGGCGGAAGGAGAAACACTGAATTCTGGGTATTGTAGTTCCTGGGTGGCGGGTCCAGATAGGCGGCTACAGCGTTGTATTTGAAATGTTTTATGTGAATGTTAAAAGCTCGATTTAGGACCTCCCTGGTGGCGCAGTGGTTGAGAGTCAGCCTGCCGATGCAGGGGATACGGGTTCGTGCCCCGGTACGGGAAGATTCCACATGCCGTGGAGCGGCTGGGCCCGTGAGCCAGGGGCGCTGAGCTTGCGCGTCCGACAACGAGAAAGACCACGACAGTGAGAGGCCCACATATCGCAAAAAAAAAAATAAATAAAGCTCGATTTATTTTCCAGGCTGAGTGCAGTAACACTTTTAGCCTGGAGTTTTGGGGTAGAAAAGAGTTATAGATTTTTACTCTGATGGCTAGAATGAATGTGGGAAGACCTGGGAACCCCTTGACAATGATGAAGCAAGAACTGTTAGGAGACAAGGAGGGCGGAGTGAAATTGAAAGGGGATTGCTTTGTGAAGAAAGGAAATTTTCATTCCAGCCTGGAAACTGTTTGTTTCCCCCAGCATGTCTGTATTTTCGTTTTGGCCTGCGAGGCATAATCTTTCACACCAATACCTTCAAACTCTATCCCTTATCTTTTTTGTCTCTGTCTCCCCAATGAAAACCCACGAAAAATCTCGCCCTAGCTTCGCCACAATGGAACCATCACTGCATCTGTGTTTGTTCTAGTTAGTCCGATCGGCCACCTTGGCCATATACATATGCAAAATTAGTCTTGCTTTACAGGAGGGAAAAAAGTTATGAAAACATAGTAGTTGCTTGATAGGCGTTTATTGATTCTGAATCTGGTTTTATATATGTATACAAGGAGTTCATACAAGATTTTCCCAATAAGGTACCACAGAAATGATCAAGGTAAAGTGGCCTTTATATTCAAGTGATTGTATTTGTTGAAGAGGATTTAGATTGCCTGTGCCAAGCAGCTAATGTAGCTCTGATAAGTATTTTCAAGGTCGACCTCCTCCCACCCGTACCCCCAGCCCCGTTATTTAAAATGCTTTGCTGTCTGACAATTCCAAAGCAAAAAAGAGGTAGAGAATGCATGGGAGTGAGGGAGGGTAATTTTTGGATCCCAGAAATTCATTGTGTAGTTATTTTACCAGAGTTTCAAGATAATTCAGAGAGTGCAGTGGTGGACCTTCCCTTACACCACCTGACTCACCTCTGAGCTGTTTGTGGTTCCCCAGTCACACTGTTGTTCCTTCATCATGGAATGATCTTCCCGTTCTCTAGCTAGCAATTATCCCCAAGGCTCAGAGTCATTTCCACCACCTCCTCCTTACATTTCCTCCCTATACTGGGTTATATTACCCTACATTGTGCTACCCCTCTGTCATAACCTCCCATATTGCACTGAAAATTATTTGCATTTATGTTGGTTCCTATACTGGACACATATCCCCCAAAATACATACCCAGATATACAATATCCTAAATTATAAGCCCCTATATGACAGGGATTGTGCCTTACTTATCTTTTTACCCCCTGCATCTAACATAAGCCTGGTGTATAGTAGGAATTCAGTAAGTGTTTGCTGAACTAAGCTTGGCTCTGATTCATCTAATAGATGGTAAGTACTATAGATTCAGAAATTTCCTAACAAATATAATCACACTGTGAAGATACAACTCATTAACTCATTTAATTTTCCTTAAACACTCATTGAGTATCTACTATGTGCAAGGCACTGATTTAGATGCTAGGATTACAGCAATGAAAAAAACAGACAAAACCCCATCTTAATGAAGTTTACATCTAGTGAAGTAAAACAAAATAAACAAGTAATTACGCTATAGTGCTAATTTTCCACTATGTTTTTCCCCAAATTTAAAATCCTTTTCTTCCCCCTGAGGATAGAGAGCACAACCCTCAGAAAGATAAAAGTGACAGCCTATACTTAGCTGCCCTTTCTTTAAAGTTATCACACCCTCTCTGGGCATAGAAAAGATTATTATATTTGAAAAATATAAAGCATCTGCATGGAGAAAACGCTTAAAATACCTTTTCCTCCCAATGTATTTTTGTTAATTTTTTGCAAGGCAAAAATGAATGTGGGAGTTGACAACATCAATAAAATAGCATAAAGCAAAGCAGCTTAATTGCTGTCTATTCTATTATTCTCAGGACATCTATTTTTGAGAACTGAAATATTTTATTTGGATAAATCACAATACAATGAGATGATGGATACCTACAAATTGACTACCCTGTTAAATCACTGTGACATTGATTTTTTACTTAATGTTTTCCTGAATTGAAAAATCACAATTCCCTGAACATTTACCTTGTATTCAGAAGCTTATTCAAGTGTGGGATCTGATGTATCATATTTTTACAAACCAGTAATTTAATGGTCTCCTCTATGCCTTTCCTTTGAGCTCCAAATCCATATATCCAACCCCTTACTCAATATCTTTCCAGAACATGTCCAATACTGAATTCCTGAATACTTCATCCCCACTCCCAAACCTCTTCATCTAGTGTTTCCCAGCTTAGAAATGGTACCACCTTCCAATCAGTTACTCAAGTCAAAAACTTAAGGATCATCCCTGATACATTACTCTCTTTCACCCTTAAACCCATCCATCAGCAACTCTTGCCAGATTTATCTCAAAGATATATTGTAAATATATCCACCTCTAAATCTGTTCTGCCCCCATAATCTCTTCCTAAACTGCAATAGATCCCAGCTGGACACCTCATTCATGCTTGCTTCTCCCCAGTCCACTCCCCACACTGCTGGTAAACTTTTAAAAATTCAAATATGATCATGTTCTCCTTTACCTAAAACGTTCATGATTGTCTATTACTCTTAAAATCTACTCCAAGATTTTTAACGTGTTGTAAAAGGCCCTGCT